ATCAGTTTGTCTCCCTGGATATCGTTTTCATTTTTAATGTGTCTGTGGTGTATGTGTTTTCATTTGGTTAGTCCTCATTTTCGTTTGTACCTATGTTGTCTGACACATATATTTTAAACGTTTTTTGACATGGATAACTAATGTTTGGTAAGTGCACCTGTTTGTTTCTCTTTTACATAATATGAGATTGTATAAACTTCATAAATTTTGCAATATTGGCATATATTGTTCACTTATTAAATTATTTTATTATAGAGCCCTGATGATGGATTTAATAAAGTCCGAAACGTTGGCATAAAACCAAATTGTTTATCTAGGAACATTTTTGATCCCTTTCCCAACCAATAGAAAAAACTGCATTTGAAAAGGTGTTGTATTCGTTTCAAGATTCAAGACAAATAAACGATGAATACTTTGGTTAGTTTCCGTGCTTCCGTGTCTTCTTTAGCAATAGTCTCCAAACGTTTCAACTGTAACTACAGTAGTCATCTTCAGTGGCGTGGTCGAAGTACTATTTTTGACGTATCAACTGTTTGTTTGAAGGTGGTTGACCATATTTCATGGTGCATTTAATTAGTTTGGACTTCCATTGTCTCATATGATATAACATTCGTGAAGAATCGAGCTTACTCTACGAGCTCTAATTAGAAATGCTGATCCATTTGAGACAAAAAATCACCAAACATTGTTCTTCTTTCAGAGGTCTACAAAAAGTACGTGATGGCATATGTCTATCTGTTGTAATAGCTTACCCATTTCAATGTTAGGAGTTCTGTATCTGTAGAGTAGGGAGGATGAATGTAAGCCCACAGCACTTAGGCCACATGTGACCTATTGTACATCCTCCCGAGGAGTTGTCCTCCTAGGTCATCGTCCATCCTGTCCTTTCTAGGAAGGTGGACAGGTCACTGGGATACATCTCCTTTATATCAGCAGATATATGCCAAGACTCGCCGTACACACATTCTCTTGTTGACGTTAACTCCGGACACTCGCATAGGACATGCCTGACAGTTTCATCTTCCAGTTCACAATCCTGCATAGAGGTGTGTCCACTAGCCTCATATTATGGAGGTGTTTCCTTAGTTGACAGTGGCCAGTCAGAAATCCTACTGTTAAGCATAGATTTTTCCTGGTCATCGCCAGATATTTCTTTGGGGCCAGCTTCCTAGGGTCGCCCAAGGTGATCCTGGCAAGATTGCATCCTTTGATTTTATCCCATCTCTTTAGGGATTGAGCATTGGTGTAACGTTTGGCTATTACCGCAATTATCGGAGTCATGAGGCCGGAGGTGCCACTGTGTCCTAAAATTCTTAGTCCAGCCGATTTCTTGGCTGAAGAGTTTTCAATGCGATTACCTTTACTCCTACCCTGCCCTTCAACACACCCCAGGATAATGTTAATATCCACTGAGGCTTTGGCTAAATCATGGTGACTCTCTAGTACTAGCCCTGATGTTTGGCTTCAATTGAATCACTGCTTACCTGCAGCAGAGCTTGCGCAGTAAGCGCTTCTCGCCAATTGACCCAGCCGTGCGCAATCGTACTATGGCCATTAACGCAACTTCCTTAACGTACAGGTCCAGAGGGGTCAGACTCGTAATTAATTCCATTGCCGCGGTTGGTGTTGTTCTCATGGCTCCTGTGATGTTCAAAGAAGCCAGTCGCTGTATTTGATATGTTTTCTGGATGGCAGTTGCTTGTAGAACTTTCGGTCCTCATGCAATGGCTCCGTACGTTAACATAGGTCTTATTATTGCAGTGTAGATCCAGGTGACCAGGTGTTAGGAGTTATCACTTACTTGAAGCTATCACGCGAGAAAATGAATTCGAATGGATTGTTTCACAATCACCTGGAACATTCTGGGAACGGTGTGATCTGGAGTATTGTGGAATGTTGGGATGGAGTGTAATTACAACCTATCACTCTCTTGATTTTTTCATA